CCTACTTAAAAAAACCTCCCAAATTCTGCCATTTTGGATTATTGCTTAGAGGCATCTGAATCCATTGCTCCTGGGTAGGGGGCTGTCCTCAAGTGCAGCCATGAGTACACTTCTGTTTTTGCTTGCTTGACAAGTTTGGGTCAGACTTCATTATTTCAGGTTTACAATTGTCATTAGTCACAAAGTATTTCCCAATTTCTCTTTTGACCCATAGATTGTTTAAGATTGTGTCACCTCTGGACCAGCAGGTGGTGTGGTGGTTAAAGTGCAGGATACTCCCAAAAGACTGACCACAGTTCGAGTCCTGAACCTGGTGACTTGCTTTCTCACTTTCTCTCTCTCTCTGTCTTGCTGTTCAAATTAAAATAAATGAATGAATAAATAAAATTAAATAATTTTTTTTTAAAAGATTGTGTCATCTGGAGGTCCTGCAGGTGGTGTGGTGGTTAAGGTGCTGGACTCCCACATGGCTGACCACAGTTCGAGTCCCAGACTCGGTGACTTGAAAATCACGCTGAGCAGGTGTGTGTGCATGCCCAGAATCCTGAGAGGAGAGTAGAAAAGAAGGGATTATGGCATGGCCGCTCCTCCTTGGGGGAATGATCTCTCACTCTTCCTCTCTTTGTCACTCTCTGGGGAGCACAAACAGCACAAGTGCCCTCTGGAAAAATAAACCTAGGGAAAAAAAAGTGTGCTGTTTAATTTGTACGTATTTGTGAATTTTTAGTTTCCCTTCTGTTACTCAATTTTATTTTCATTCCTTTGCGATCAGAAAAGATATTTCGTATGGTTTCATTCTTCTGAAATTTATTAAGAGTTGTTTTGTGGGCCACCATATGGTCTAGCCTAGGGAATGTTCCATGTGGTCTACTGTCGGGTGGAGTGTTCTGTTTGTGAGGTCTGACTGGCTTATATGTCATTCGAGTCCTCTATATCCGTATTTATCATCTGTCTGCTTGTTCCAGCTTTAATTCTCGGGGTTTCCTCTGACCTGTTTTTCGGTTTACTAATTCTTCAGCTGTTTAACCTACTGTTAAACTCATCCATTGACTTCTTAATTTTTGCCAGTTTTCAGTTTTAGAGTTTCTGTTTGATTTGTTTGTTTGCTTGTTCTTTTAAGTTGCCAGCACATACGCTTGCTAGAGAGGGAGGAGAGGAGGGAGAAAGCATCCCCCTAATGTGACCTGGTCCTGGTCACACTGCAATCTTTTTTTTTTTTTTTTTTTTTTTTTTTTTTTTTAGGGATTTTTTCACTAACATCCAACTGCCCGCAC